CGACGACGACGATGACGATGGTCAGCTTGAAGATGGTGACCGCATCTTCTACACCTCGTTCCGCCCCTCGGAGGAGATACGCGGCTGGCAGTACTGTCTCGCAACGCCTGGCCGAAGCCTTCGCCAGGAACTCCGCCCCTCCGCCCTCCGAGATCCCGGACTGGGCTAAGGAGTTCCAGGACGTCTTCAACAAGGAGTCCTTCGACACGCTACCGGAGCGGAGAGCCTGGGACCACGCCATTGAACTCGTCCCCGACGCTAAGCCCACCAACTGCAAGGTGTACCCCATCTCGCCCCTTGAGCAACGCGAGCTCGACGCGTTTATCGAGGAAGGGCTTTCGACGGGCCGGATTCGCCCCTCCAAGTCTCCGATGGCGTCTCCGGTCTTCTTCGTCAAGAAGAAGGACGGCGGACTCCGCTTCGTCCAGGACTACCGTGCTCTCAATGCGATGACTGTCAAAAACCGGTACCCCCTTCCGCTGATCAACGACCTCATCAACCGGCTCAAAGGCGCTCGTTACTTCACCAAACTCGGCGTCCGTTGGGGCTTCAACAACGTCCGGATCAAGGAAGGTGACGAGTGGAAAGCAGCTTTCCGGACTAACCGAGGCCTGTTCGAGCCCTTGGTGATGTATTTCGGCCTGACAAACTCTCCCTGACGTTCCAAACGATGATGAATGACATTTTCCAGGACCTCATCCTCTCCGGAGACGTCATGATCTACCTTGACGACATCCTGATCGCCCATTCCGACCTCCGGAAACACCGGCAGATCGTTCAGGAGGTCTTGCGGCGACTCCGAGAGCACAAGTTGTACCTCCGAGCGGAGAAGTGCGACTTTGAAAAATCGTCAATCGAGTACCTCGGAGTCATCATCTCCCACAACCACGTCGAAATGGACCCCGTCAAGGTCGCAGGCGTCTCCGCTTGGCCGACTCCGGAAAACAAGAAGGACATTCAGCAGTTCCTCGGGTTCGCTAACTTCTACCGCAGGTTCATTCGGGACTTCTCGACCCTTGCGCGCCCTCTTTTCGTGCTCACCAAGAAGGACCAGCAATGGACTTGGGGCGACGCGGAGGCCTCCGCGTTCCAAGCGATCAAGGACGCGGTCACCTCGGAACCGGTCCTGGCGATTCCGGACGACACACGGCCTTTCCGACTCGAGGCGGACAGCTCTGATTATGCGACGGGGCGGTTCTTTCACAATCCGCCCCGGACGGGAAGTGGCACCCTGTAGCATTCTATTCCAAAAGCTTAAATGATGTCCAGCGCAACTACGAAATCCACGACAAGGAGATGCTCGCGATCATCCGCGCACTCGAGGAGTATAGACACTTCCTCGAGGGCGCCGCGCACCCTGTCGAGATTTGGACTGACCATAAGAATTTGGAGTACTTCAGGAAGACGCAGCACCTCAACCGGAGACAGGCCCGGTGGTCTCTGTACCTCTCCCGGTTCGACTTCACGCTGCACCACAAGCCTGGCCGCGATATGGGTCGGCCTGACGCTCTCTCCCGGAGACCCGACCACGGAGTCGATTCCGACAACTCCGATGTCGTCCTTCTGCGGCCTGAACTCTTCCACGTCCGCGCACTCGAGGGCGTTTCCGTTTCCGGTCCCGGCTCTGAACTCCTCCGTGACATCCGTGATGCCCTCTCCGGTGAGCCTGACCTGGAGGAGCCCGTCGCACTAGCGGCCCGGCAACTTCTTAAGGTTCAAGGTCAAGCTCGAGGCCCCCGCTCCTCACGTTCTGACGAGTGGGCCGTCTCCGGCGGTCTTCTCCATTTCCGAGGAAAGATCGTCGTACCAAAAGACAAGGACCTCCGGAGACGCATCATCGAGCTCTGCCATGACACCCGAGTCGCCGGACACGCAGGTCGTTTCAAGACCCTGGAGTTGGTCTCCCGGAACTACTGGTGGCCTCAGATGTCTCGCCATATCGGCCGGTATGTTGCGACCTGTGACTTGTGCTGTCGCACCAAGGCACTCCGGAGACTGCCCCACGGAGAACTGCACCCCACGGAAACGCCTCCGGACGCTGGCATACCGTCTCCGTCGACTTCATCGTAGAGCTTCCCGAAGCCCATGGGTACGACGCGATCATGGTCGTCGTTGACACCCTCGGAAAGCGCGCCCACTTCTCAGAGTGTCATACGACGGTCGATGCAGTAGGGGCAGCCCGCCTCTACTACCGGAATGTCTGGCGGCACCATGGGACTCCGGAGAAGTACGTCTCCGACCGCGGCTCGCAGTTCATCGCGGACTTCACCCGAGAACTTTGGCGTCTAATCGGCATCAAGCCCGCCACGTCCACCGCGTACCACCCGCAGACAGACGGTCAGACAGAGCGCGTCAACCAGGAGCTGGAGCAGTACTTGCGGATCTTCACCAACTACCAGCAGGACGACTGGGATGAGCTGATTCCGGCCGCGGAGTTCGCCTACAACAACCACGTTCACTCCTCCACGCAGCAGGTCCCCTTCATGACGGACACGGGACGACTCCCGCGCATGGGCTTCGAACCCGGAGTCCGTTCCGCTATGGAGTCCGTGAACGAGTTCCGCGACCGGATTGCCACTGGTGTTGCCGGAGCCAAGGCCGCTCACTAAGGCCAAAGAGGAGTACAAGCGCTACTACGACCGGAGACGCACTCCGTCTCCGGAGTTTAAGGTTGGCGACCGTGTTTGGCTGGATGCCTCTGACATCAGGACGACTCGCCCCTCGGAGAAGTTCTCCCACCGCCGCCTCGGACCGTTCAAGATAGTCGCGGAGATCAGCAAAGGTGCCTACAAGCTCGACCTCCCTCCGCGCTACTCGAAGCTCCACCCGGTCTTCCCCGTCGTCAAGCTCGAGCTCGCTCAGGACGACCCCTTCGACGGACGCCCGGGTTACGACCAGCCCCCTCCGGACCTCGAGGACGGAGTCCCGGAGTGGGAAGTAGAGGAAATCCTGGACGCAAGGGTGAGGTATAAGCGGCTGAACTACTTCGTCAGATGGAAAGGCTACGACGCATCGCACGACCAATGGGTCCGCTTCGACCGCGTCTTTGCCCCGGAGAAAATTGCGGAGTTCTATCGTAAGTACCCTGGCAAGCCACGACACATCGCCTCCGCGACCTTCGACTCGATTCCGTTCCGGTCTATGCGTCGGGACGCCGCATTCAAAGGGGGGTGATGTCAGGGGAACCTCCCCTTTCGGCCCCTCGGAGACGCCTCCGATTCCGGTCCGACTCCGGTTCCGACTCCGGTCCGGCCCTCCATCTCGCCCGCACAATCACCGATCCGTCAACGCCCTCCCGACGGTCGCCCTGGGACCTCGCCTGCGACGCCGCCCAAGCCTTCTGTGCCCGACAGCGGCAGCTACGGACAAGCAGTATATAGTCAGCTACCTAGCAGGCGGACCCTTAGAGTTTCTTCTCTTTGGATCCTCCCCTGCTAGGTCAGCTTCATTTGTATTCGCTTACCAATGTTCACGCTTTGGATCCTCCCCTGCTAGGACCTTGATCTCAGGCCTCCGGGGTTGCCCTTACAGTAGCCCCAGCCCTGTCTAGTCCATAATAAGCATCTTGACACCCCCTTGCAATAGCCACAAGACTATCAATTACTTGAATATGATTATGTTTGAATATATTATATTATGTTATAACAATTCACTAAAAAAAACTTAAGCATCAGGTCTAAGATTTTGAAAAAAGGTGTAGACCCTTGATTGAATAACACACACACTGGGATTTCATTTAAAATGGTCCCATAAGCAGAATTTATATATTAGAAATAGTGGTCCAAAACAATAGCCTTTTTTGCTGCTTTGATGGATATATAATAAAAGTTGCAAAAATTGTATCTAATTTACAAGAAATCAAGTTCCGTATTGGGGTATCAAATATAGCATATATTATGAATACCCTCTTCCTGACCATGTTTTGTAAACAATAAGTGCACCGAATTCAAACCCAAATATTTGTCAAAAAAAATAGTGTCATATTATTATTACCCTAATTTGTCATATATAATGGCAATGTGTCACATACATCTCAGATCTGGCATACAATATTGAAAAATTGGTCTTCCAAATGACTATAATTTTTTTCGGCACCTATGGCGCTTGAACCGCCATTCAAGATACTGTTGGCTAAATTTCCTTCTTAGTATTTTCTCTCTAGGTGTGAGCATTCACCGGCCCTGGTTCTCGTTTGTATATCATATGGATGGCCCAAATAGGTAATACTATGACTAATTTTCACTATCTGCAGTATTTATCAGCAACACGAGTATCTAGCCGGATTTTGTTTCAAAAGTGCCCATTTTCCTTTTCAAAAATGCCCATTTTTGCTGAAAGTATTTTGACCACATGTGCAGGATTTCTTGATTAGGTATGCGTCTTGTATAGACTCTTGTTCTCATAGTTGATCCATTTGGTTATAGCACTGGGAGCTAAAGCAAGGTCTCCACATGTGGCACACTGTGCCGGAGGCCCTTGCCATAAATAAATCCTACTTTGGGCCCTGTTTTTTGGCAGAAACCCTGCTGTGCCAGTATATTGTAGGCTTGTCCTTGGTATATATAGAGTAAACTGAGTAATGCATATAACGAATTTCCAAATATCAACATCTTCATTGCTGAAATACACAATCAACAAGGCAATGTTGTAAATCGCTGTAAAATCCTTGCAGAGCGCAACCCCCAACTCTTTTTGTCACATCATGTCACATCTTTTGATTTTGAGGGAATTTGATACATATATAGCTTATAATCACTCTCTGAAAATTGGCCTGACTAGCTCTGCAACGAGGGCTGGTTTAAGGAGCCTGGCAATGAAATCAATTTTTGGCTTCCACAAGGCTTAGATAAGTTAGTGATTGCGGTCGGCTACCGTGGCAGATGATGGTGATAGCTCCGCCGACGCCGACGTCAGACGTCTGTCGGGTACCTGTGCGATAACTCCGCGGCCTGTGGTTGGTGGTGTGATGATGACTGCGATGCAGTGCGGTGCGCGTGGGGATGGTGAGTCGCGCGGGCGTTGCTTCGTCCGCGCACATGGGTGTGCAGTGTCGACGGAGCACATCGGTCGGTGGACATTTGAGCGATGAGTTAGATGTAGCGGGAGAAAGCGTGACGTGACGTGCATGTGATGCGATGTCAGCCTTTTTTTTGGCTCGTTTGCATTGCCGCAGACTTCGCAATTACGTTGCGGTGTCGTACGTCGCGACAGCTGGGGTGAGTCCACCTTCCGTGGTCACAGGGAAACGCTTCTTTGCTTCCGCGTCCACCATCTCCGTTTTCCATTGGCCCCTACCCCACAGCGCGTCCCCTGTATATAGAGCGCCCCTCCTTTCCCCGCCCTCCTCTGTCCCATCGACGGACAGCATAGACGCGGCGCCACTGTCGGCCGCCAGCGACGAAGACTAGAAGACCCGGGTGCTGTTCGGGTCAGCGCTGGATAGGAGTCAGAGATAGAGTAGACGGCTAGCGTGCGTCTCTTCTCCTTTCCTTCCAGCTTCCGTCAACAACACAATCTTCTCTAGACACGCTCCCTTCCCACCTACCCACAAAACCACCGCGATGCCCGCACGCATCTCCCACCGCTCCCAACTGTCCGATCCGCTCTCTGCGGTAATTGCCCCGCCTGTCGGGGAGTCTGCGGCAGCGAAACAGGCGCGTGTGGCCAGAGAGGCAGAGGAGCAGCGCGTAAGCGACGCCATTGACGACGAGCTTAGGAGGGAGAGACAAGATAGAAAGAAGAGGGGGAAAAGGGAGGTCAAGGTGTTGCTGCTCGGCCAGAGCGAGAGCGGGAAAAGCACCGTGCTCAAAAGTGCGCATCTATCTTGCTCTGTCTTAAGCTTCTGACCATCACATCGCAGACTTCAGACTGAAATACGCACCCGCGCAGTGGAAAGCTGAACTGCAGTCTTGGCGCGCAGTGGTGCAGCTGAACCTCGTTCAGAATGTCTTAACAATACTTGATGTTCTCCAAGAACGGCTTTCCCTCCCTGAGGCCACCGAAGTCCCCACCGGCTCATCACCACCGTCCTCGTTCCCCACCGGCTCGCGCACATCGTTCGACTCGACGATCAGCGACATCACCACCGCCCCGCCAGCGCTGTCTCCCGCAGCTGCAAAAGTGCAACTGTCACAGAAGCACCGCATACTTCTTTTGCGGTTGTCTCCGCTACGAAAGGTCGCGGAAGATCTGAGGAGGGTACTTGGCGCCGGCGCGGACTTTTCGAATGCGGACGATGCGGCACATGGGTATGGTGTGCTTGACGATACGGGCCCGGCGCAACCAAAGAGGAAGGAGTTTGCGGTGAGGGGGTGGATTAGCGCGTTGGGGCTGAAGGGCGAAGACGAAAACAGGTGCGTGTTAGTGTTTTGTCTCAATCTGCCATGACAATACTGCTAGACCTGTCCCTGACTCGCCAACCGACTCAACCAGCGAAGTCCTCTCTTCGCTGCGAGACGACATCCTTGCGCTCTGGGAGGACACCGATGTGAGGGCGCTGTTACGCGCTGCAGATGTGCGGATCGAAGACCGGGCGGGTTTGTGCGTTTCCTTTCCCCTCCAAACTACATATTATTTCACCTAACGAGCTAACAGTTTCCTCCCGGATACGGCCCGGATTACCGCCCCGGGGTATGTACCATCGGACAACGATGTCGTGCGCGCAAGACTGCGGACGATGGGCGTCCAGGAGTGGCGTGTTGTACTTGAGCAGGGGGCCGGTGGGCTTGGGGGCTCGGGGCTGGCTAGTGAGTGCTCGCCCATTGATTTAGTCCGCTTTTTGTTGGCGTTGGCCCCGTGAATCTCACGGGCATGTGCTCTCCCGGCGGTTGCGACCTTCTTTCGCTTATGACCCGCCGGGAAGCTGTTTGCCGAGCGCCTCCGCTGCCGCGGGACCAAATCGCCGTTTTCGATGATTACGGGGCACTCGCGTGTGATTTGGTTTCCCTCTGCCTCTTGTTGACGTTTGTTCTCCCTTGTTCAATCCTGATCCACCGCAGGCGATTCGTTCGGCGCGGAATGGGTTATATACGATGTCGGCGGCTCGCGCTCAATGCGACACGCGTGGCTGCCGTACTTCGACGCAGTTAACGCGATCATCTTCTGTGCGTCCTCCCCCCTCCGATTGTTCCTACCCTGGTTGATAGTCGTAGTGGCGCCTATATCATGCTTCGACGAGCGCCTCGCGGAAGACCCGCGCGTAAACCGCCTCGAGGACACGCTGCTCCTCTGGAAGGCGGTGGTCAAGAGCCCGCTCTTGAGAGGGTGCACCCTCGTAGTCTTCTTGAACAAATGTGACCTGCTCAAACGGTGCGTGGCGGTGCCAGTGGACATGAAAGGCGGAGAGGCTGATGGATGCACAGCAAGCTGCAGAGCGGGATCATGGTCAACCGCCACATGCTCAGCTTTGGCAACCGGCCGAACGAGGTAGGCGTCGTTGTCAAGTGTGCGTACCTTTCTTCTGCTTCCCTCGACTTACCCACTCCCCTCGCAGACCTAAAAGACAAGTTCAAAGACATTCTGCGTGCCGACGCTGCCTCCCCCGCCCTTGGCGGCATTAGCGCTGCCGCACGCACGACGTATTTGTACGCGACAAGCGTGACGGATACAAAGGCGACCGCCGCGACGCTCAACATTGTCAGAGACGGGATCATCCGCGAGCACCTGAAGCACGCGGAGTTTGTGTAGGCAGAGAGAACGGACACTCGTTTTGTTTATGGTTTTGGTTTTGCAGTTGATGGTATATAGATATCTGTGTTGCTCACGATCATTACGATTTTTTGGTGTTTTGTTTGATAGATTCTTGATCCTGGTGGGAGTCAAGAAAAAAAGGTGAACATTTAAGTACATATGGGCCAACTTGAAATCTTCCTACTGTTCTATGGATCACTTTGTATGTTGTGTAGTGCCGATTAAGGAGTAACATGAGTGGTCCAGGTTACTATGCTGCACAACTTGTCGTGATAGAATTGTATGGACAAGGACAGTATTTTTACCTAATTTTTAAAACTCAGGCTTGTCATAACACCTGTCGTGACTTGTCATTTTTCATTTCTCACTCTCTTTCTCGCTCTCCTTTGTATGTCAATATTAGTCGCGCATAGCAGCCTCTGTCATTTCATCAGGTTGAAAATAACTTAATTAACAATGAGCTACACTTTAAATTCATAGATGCCAAAATACAAACACACATTCAAAAAGGAAAACTTGTTATACACATTATTGTAAAATAAGAATAGCTAGCAAGGGGGAAGCATGATGGCATCAGTGCACATATGCATGACACTAATTTTTTTTCAATAATTATTTATTCATATCTTAGCCAGCCATAGATAGGTGTATATGGATGAGTCTCTATATTTCAAATGTTATATGAAGTTTTACTCTGGTCTCAGCCTTCCTATCAGTAAATTACCATATCTGGCCACTCTAGTCATTGATTTGTGACCCTTAATATCTCAAACATTGAGCCCTTGAAAGTTAAAAACGAGGTTTCATTATAAGTCTATCCATCACATCATATATAGAAGCAAGCTGCAACAAGCCACTTCTGGCTATACTTAAACTTGGTTTCATACTTACTTGTGTTACCTCATCAATCATACTCTGATAATGATCTGCTCATTCACAAACTGATCTAGGTTTGTGCTAATATACCGTCAAAAGTGGCACTGGTTGTCACAACCTCATATTGCTCATCCATCAAATGTCACATTTTCTCATGTCAGAATGGCAGGAACGGCTGCATCTTGTCAACCTCCATAATAATTTGTCAGATATAGCTGTATGCTATGTAGATAAAATATCAGGGTTAAACCCTGTACTGTAGCATTTTAATCAATTCGGCCGGTCACGCGTCACACCGCCATTAAAACGCCGAAATTTTTTCGGCAGTCACATGCAACAGCAACAAACGCCGAATTCACCTGGAAAATTGACCATTTTTGGCTGGCGCGGCCCTGCGGGCCGCGCCGTAATGTGCCGAAAATTTTCGGCGGTCACACTCGGAGGCCTCGGACGCCGAAAATTTCAATTCGGCGCCGATGTCACACACTTTTTGGGCGCTGAATTGATTAAAATACTACAGTAATGTCTACATCTTTAGGCAGTCCAAGCATTATGATAAGAAAATTGTCAATCTTTTGTTGGAAAATCAGTATGTAAGCAAGTGGGCTTGCAGCCTTGAGTTTACTCTCCAAAGCCTCCCAGACTGCCAGACTGACCTCAGGTCTACAATCAGTTTATGCTACACCGCTTGTCGGCTTACCTTCAATCATGTGACCATGGGACCATCTGCCAACCGTCACACATGTCACAGTTGGTCAGTCCTTCTTAGGGTAACGTTAAAAAGTCCAGCTGAATTATTAATATTGTAAGTTACAAGTGATGTTATTAACAATTTTTAACAGTCATGTTAATAACAATCACGTGATCACTTACCATATATGTATTAAAAGAGCTGATCATTAGATAATAAATATATTAAAGTTAAAAAGTATTATAATGTTGTTTGTTGGATGACAGCGCAGTTGATAGCTAGAACCTTAGTGCTTGCAGACCATCCCTGGAACCTGATACTAACTCAGGTGCAAGTTGTTCTGGAGCCCACATATTGTATAAACCACAAGAGGCCCAGTTCATGCCTTGATCAGCAACAAACCTAAGTAAATTGGCTAATGGCAGACTTTTAATTTAATACATCCTGCTACTTTCTAACAATTTTTAACATGGCTCCTGGAAGGGTTCATTCTTAATATTGTTATTAACTTGTAAGTAACATGTTAATAACAAAACATTTTTTAACCAAGTACTTTTTAACGTTACCCTAGTCCTTCTAGCATGGCTTAACTTTTCTTAGTATATAAGTATGTTGCTATAATTTTTTTCTCTTTCCCCTTAAAAGCTAGATAATAAGTAAAGGTAAATGTCAGGGGAACCTCCCTTTCAGCCTCTGGCCAGAGGGCTGTGGAAATTTTCATGCCATCATAGCTATTTGACATTCAGCACTTGACCACTAGCCTGTGACACACCAAAATATTTTATAACACATACTGACCCATTTCGTTCAATTCAGCGGGCTTGTGACCTGTGACCGTTTGGCCGAAATGTCCAATTCGGCCGGAGGCCGAACTTTGTGTGACCTCTTACCTAAATAGGAAATTCAGCGCGCCAAAGGCGTGAAATTTTTGAAATCCTTCCAAATCGGGACGCTTTGGGACCAAAAGAATGGGCTGTGACCCGTGACCGGCCGAAATATTTCGGCCAAAAAATCCGATGTGACCGTGACCGGCCTAATTGAAGGAAATGGGTCAGTAGTATATGCTATTTTTCAGAAGTATGTCCAAATCAGATGAAAATTAGAACTATTAGTGAGCACATAGCCTGGCAATATAGATTTGACCATCCACTTAGCACTATATTGGAATATTCTGTGACTATTAAGGAGATTTTAACAAAAAGTTTTCAAATCAATGTAATTTATAACATAGACAATTGAAAGAGTAGAATATCTGACCTGGCCAAAAATGACCCTGAGAGCCTGAAAACTTGCAATTAGTCATCTTTTTACCTATGGATTGTTCATTTCTATAGGAAACCTGCAAATTCATACAAAGTGCAATAGTGCACCATGTACCCTATTGCTTAGCTCATTAACAGTAATCACTTCTCTCTGTGCAAGAAGGCATTAACGACTCAATGATTTGACTCCAACTTAGTTGTAAGAGACCATTTTTACTAGACCTTATGGCTTGACTTGACCATCGTCTGTCTATACATGGGCCTGACATAGTTTCTGCTCTATTCTGGGCAGGTGTCTACCAGGGAGTCTTGCATGGCCCAAGTTCTAACCCAAAGCCTGACACAAATATACCTTTGATTTTCTGACACCATCTGTCAAATTTAGTCATCTTCTGGTTATTGAACTACAGAAATTTGATCTTTTATATTTATGTCATATGTACCACACTCCAAGTATTGTATTGGAAATGCCACTATGGAAAGTCTAAATGTTGACAACTAATCATTTTCCATGATGCACTTCAATATCTTTTCACTCTATTTATACCTACAAAAATCCTAACAAGCATTTATATTCTTGGCTTACCACAAACAATAGGTTCAGAACTCAGGACTTAGTTTCTATCTTTCTATATTATTGATGTTAGATGCCCAGAAACATCAGAAATTACCATTCTGAGATATAGATTTTGTCTAAATCTGTATAATATGTCAAACAATTTATAATAATATTAGTGGTGTGAAACATGGCATGTGAACTGAGAAAAATACTACAGTGTGCCCTTCATAAACAGAAATAAATAATATAGAGTAAACAATACATTATTAGATCAGGAATACTCTGGAGGCAACTCTGTGTGTGATGCAGTCCTCAAGCTTCTGACCTCCTCTTGCAACATTTGAAGCTCATATAGTACATCTGAGTTGGCAACAGATGGAGCACCTCCTGATGGAACAGATTCTCTTGTAGTTATTCCTTGGAAGATATTCTTGGAGTCTGGCCTGATTACTGCCATTGATTGCCTTGTATTGATCTCAGGCTCCTCATATTGTAATGGTGATAGGGCTGAGTTCTCCCCTGAGGGATCAATCTCAATCCTTTGACTAGGAATTCTCTGAGCATGTCTTTTCCATCAATAAGCCAGTGCTGCACATGATAGACCAAGGAGCACAACTCCCCCAGTAATTGCAGCTGCAATTTCAGCAACACTAATTTTTGCTTCACTATGACCATGTGTAGGAAGGAGAGATGGTATGCTTGTGAAAGATGATGAGGTTGGTATAGTTGAAGCTGTATGGATCAATTAAATATATGATAAGGATTGAGAGAACAGAGTCACTTGCCCCCTGGTACTATTGCAATTTTGGCAAAGCCTAGTTGTGGTGGTGAACCACCATCAAATACCATGTAGACATTTTGCTGTAAACAAGTGCTTAGTAGTGTACTACATCAAGAATAAGCCATACTAGAAATGTCTGCCCAAATATCCAACTGGGTCTCTCATCTGGACCTACTGTTGAATTGGAAAATACACTGTCCCCTGGGGAAGTAGACAGGGCATAGATAGCACCTACACAACGAGGTGGGCTACTACTGACCTATTTCGATCAATTCAGCGGGCCTGTGACCCGTGACCGTTTGGCCGAAATGTTCAATTCAGCCGCAGGCCGAATTTCACGTGACCTATTGCCTGATTAGGACATTTGGCGGGCCGCAGGCGCGGAAAATTTGGAAATCATCCTAATTGGGACACTTTGGGACCAAAAGATCTGGCTGTGACCCGTGACCCGCCGAAATATTTCGGCCAAAAAATCCCATGTGACCGTGACCGGCCTAATTGAAGGAAATGGGTCAGTATTAGCAACAGGTCGGACATTGATATCTGAGGTGTTGAGAGACCAAAAGCTCCCACCAAATGAGAAGGAGACATTTGGTGGTGATAGGCAAGCTATCAAAGACAATTATTCCCAGGTTATAAAATAAAATAATCTGACATACAGTATGAATAAAAGCCCTGTTGATCGCTGATAGGACTAGAGCCAGGAACTGCTGCCCAGAATCTTGCAACATCTGCAGGTGGGCCACCAATGAAGCCAGCACTTGTACTGAAAATGGCAATTCTTGTAGTTAAGTTTGCTGTAATAGTTGTACTATTGATTGAGAATGCTAGATATCTGTAAATAAATGCCTCAAAGAAGGAGAAATCAAAATAGACCTGAGACATCTAATGACCAATATGCATTTGGCTTCCCTGTCAATGTTTGATACTCAATGTTTCCAGAGTAGAATTGTGCATCAATTTGTCCCAGGGTCAAGCTTGGTCCAGTGGTGTTGGAATACTTGTGCAGAGAAATGGCAAAGAGGTTTGGTCCGTTTGGAAGCCCAGCAGCACTTAGTGCCTGCTTCCAGAAGGGCACAGGCTGAGGGTCCAGTCCTGAAATTCCTTGAAATGAAAGTCCTAGAATGCCTGAGAGTGGATTATGGCTAGGCATTGAAAAAGAAGTAGATATAAAGCTTGCGACAACTGTTTTCAGTGCATTGATTTCAGCAATATACCATTGAAAATTTAGTGAAGACACTTACTCAGTGAAGTTGTGGCAGCATATCCTTGAAGATTCATTTGGTCATTGAAAACTGCTCCAGCTGCAGTAGTGCTGGCCAAATATAATTATATTATTTTATGGGCATAATATATTATAATCATATCATATTCAGAGCTCCAACCCAATAATATATTTGTAGTATAATATAATCATATTCAGCTGTGAAATATGAATATGTTATGAATATATTCAACTATAATCTAGTATGCATATCTCTTGATATGTTTGACATATTTGCTGTTAGAAAAAGGAATCAAAAACATAAAATACATGCTGGATTGTCAGTGCAACTTCCTTTTGGGCCTCCCTGGGTTACATAGGACTCTCAAAATACAATCAGGGGCATTGTCACTAGTCTTAGGTTAGCCAGTAGATACTTGATCAGAGGTCCTACACTATGTTTAATAGGTCAACCCAAAGTGATCACTCCTGACATTTGTTCCTACTAAGGGTAATGTATGAATCACCATATATAATAGATAATATGTGACATTTATCAGAAGTAGGGCTTACTCAGACTAAGATTAGTACTATGACTGAGTACATAGACTGAGAAAATAGCTGTAATCATCTACCTTACTATAGTTGAATATTCTGCAACTATAATATAGTATAGTCATAATATAATATAATATATTCAAACATAATCATATTCAAGTGATCCACAAAGTGCATAATATATTCATAATATTCTGAATATATTCAATATTTAATCAAGCATAATATAATTCTGGCCAGCACTAAGCTGCAGAACCAAAGGTATAGTCCAGTCTGAAAGCTGTCCCAACTGCTTGAGCAGAGGATGACAGATCAGGGTCAAATAGGGTATCCTGTGCAGGACATCCTGCCGAGATGCAGGTGTTTCCGGCAACAAAGATGTCAGAAGTGGTTGTATCAACAAGGAGTGTGACTGCTTTGGGTCTGGAAATGCAAGCAATATAAGTAACATGGGAAGGCAGTGATCATGGAAGACACACGGTGTGCCCACATCAATCACAACAGCCCAGATGACCCCCTCTTGAACAGCTGCATTGACCTGCACACCATTTGTGCCACTAAGAGGAGAATCATCTCCTACATGTACCGCAAGCAATGAGAGGGGCTTTAGCACTGGAGAGGTGAAAGCAGAAGAAGTTGCCATGAGGGTGGCGGACAGGATGTGCTTGCTGAGTAATGACCACATGTTGGGCCCACATTGCAGAATGTGAGAGTCGCATCATAGGCACATTCCCAGGGACAAACAACTCGAATGATGGTATAACTCATCGGCTGATGATGCCCATGTCTGTGCAACCAATTTTACAGAGATAAGTATACAGTGGCAGATTGCTTGATGGCTCTCATAGACAATCATCCGAGCTTCCAATCAGTAATATCCAATTCCGATCTCCCCTTCTAGCTCATCCGCCAACCGTTTTACGACAGGGTCGTCATTCAGACTCTCCAACCACAACCCGCGGGCCCTGTTACCCGCCCCAATCTCCGCGGACTATGATTTCGAAAACTTGCGTTGTCTCGCGCCGGACGCCTGGCGCCGAGGTCGAGGTCCAAGCTTTTGCACGGAAGCAATTTAGTTACAGAAAAGCTTTTTACAAGGCTTGACTCCACTTACAGTACTTATATGTGTTGCTCGTACGATCTTGATAGTAATAATGGCAAATGCCACCCACAGCGCCGCACTCACGGGCCTCAAGATCTTTTTGTACTTAGCATAGGCTCCGCACTAGCAGTATGGTACCTTGTATGGTACGGTCCGGGATAGACACTCGCCGTCGCCAGATCGCCGATCCCGGCGTACGTTCACGGTCGGGCCGAACACGGTGCCAAGAGTCCGCCACGTGCGCATGTGAGGTAATATCACTGCCACATCATGCATCCTTCTCTCCGACTGTCACCAGAGCGTTTTCCTGCTCCCCTGCGGGTACGGCTCCGTGCGTATTGACCGTGGTTGTACTTATCACGCCATGGACTAGGGTCGGGTTGAGGCAGCTGCCCATCGTTCGCTGCCGGATGTGGAGTTCCTTGTTGGCCAGAGCGCAAACGGCCAGCTGACGGATCGTCAACAACGACAGCTGGTTGCGCTGTGGTACGAATGTCTGAATGCCCCTCCGGAAATCCCGTCGACGTCCTACGATATCGAATCCGACTCCTCGCGGAACACGTTGGAGTGCGCGATCACTGCGCTAGAGGGCCTGTTTGTGGCCACAAGTGGGGAGAGCAGGATGGTCGAGCGGGGAGCGATCGCGGAGCTCTGGCAGCGTGCATACGCATGGCTACTAATTATTGACGGTCTTCAGGATCATCTCCCCACCGAACTACGGACGCGTATGGTCCCCGCCCAGCAGGTCCTTTTCGTTGAAGGGCTAATCAAGGCCGGTGGAAACGTTGCAATCGCCGCAATGAATGCTAGTCCAAGACTGGTGTACCTTCTTGGACGTTGGTGGCAGGAAATTGTGATCGCCCGCGACGGTCCAATCCTGGCAACTCTTACCGTCCAGCTGGGAATCTTTGTTTCGAAAGACCGTTTTCGCCAACTCCTCGACAGTGTCGGCGGGCAATACTCCATCCTCGGCAACACGCTTGCAAAGCACCTCAGCCTCACATTTTCCGCAGATTTCCCCTATCCTGATGCCCAGCGTATCAAGGAGGGCTTTTCCATCATCCGCATCTTCAGCCACCACTTACAAACAAACACGCATTTGCTATTTGCGGTCTTAGAATCCAGACCCCGCTTCGTCCCTGCCATTACCCACATGCTTCTTATATCAGCAACGACTCGGATGCCTTCTGTCAAACCTGACGATTGGTTTGATCTATTCTCCCTGCTGCTCGCCACGCTGTGCGATTATCCGGACGACCTGCCTCACAGTCTGGCACACAAACACCTCAAACACGCGCTAAAAGCCGGTCTTGTTGCAGCTGTCGCATCTTTTACAAGCTCCAACAATGTGGCTGCACCCCGAGAGCTTCGCAATCATATTATCGAGCAGTTATTCAGAGCTGACATGATTCTCGGACGGAGCACTGTGTTTCATTCGGTGCTTCCCCATCTCAGGGTGGTGGCCGGAAACATAGGGCAACTAAAAATCAACATGGGAGGGAACTTATCGTCAGCCTGGCAGTCTTTCGACGACTTGCTGCGGCAACGAGACACATTATATGACCGTTATACGGATGATTGGGTCCAGCAGCTTCGGGCTTGTGCCCATGTGACGGTATGCACCACGTTGCAACACTTGCTCGCTGTCTAATTATCTGCGCAGTGTCAACGGCAGCTTACGCGGGCGGAGCTCAAGCAGTGTAGTGGGTGTAAAGCAGCCCTGTACTGCTCCTCCGCGTGTCAGAAAGCTGATTGGAGACCTGTTCACAAACAATACTGTTCCAGCTTGTCCCAAATCCGGAGAGGTACGCACTCTATTTGCATCGATCCCTCCTAACTATAAACAGACACTGTCTCCCGCATCGGGAAACGGAACCTCTCGTTTCATCATTACCTGGTCGCGGGCGAGTGCAAGCGGCACCGGGCCCAAATTGCCCAGATGCTCGCAGAGTTTGTTCTGCAAAACCGGCAGCCGGCGGCCAGCGCGCTCTGCGTGATCTACAGCTTCACAGGCGGCCACTGTGTTCTCGGGACAAACTGGTCTACCGGCTCCGCCGACGCACTCGGCTTCCCCATCGCGCCGGCATACATCCGGCCCGCGCAACGCTCCGCGGGCCGCACACACCTCCACATCTTCTACTGTGGAGCGCTGAGGCGTGATGGGGCTGGACACGGGAACAAGGTGCTATATGCCCATGTGTTTCCCTTCCATGTTTCCGAGCGCTGTGCGGCAGTGATACGGCGGCTGGGGGACCGCTGCCGGACGCGATAACCTTGCCGGCCACCTCCACGCGACGCAGCGAGTCGTTATTGTTCATGATTGACATTGCCAGTTGCTGCAGGGGGATCCCAGGCGCGATGCCGCGTGGAAACTGGACATCTTGCCCGTCGGCCCTCCCGCCCAAAAAAAAACAAGTGAACCCAAGCCCACATGGATGCGCAAGAAGAAGGATGCGAGGCGCGCGAAACGCGCGAGGGGCCGCTGAATGGCGCCTTCCTTGCGTGCACCGTTCCCGAGGCTCACTGTCTCGTCGTAGGAGAGGGTGGTGAGATTGGGGAGGCTGTCCGCCATGAGGGAGAGTAACTGATGAATAGTGGGCTCCGACACGCTGTGGGACTCCATAGCCAGGATCGTCAACGTGCTTGCATAGCTTCCGAGGCCGAGGAAGCTCGGGAGCTCCTCGTCTTCGTCCGTGATCGATAGCAGGGCATGTTCAAGTTTCCAGGCGGCTACTTCTGCCGGTATAACCGCACTCAGCGGGGCGTAGATGTTTTTGAGTGGAAGATTCACGACTGCGGAGTCGGCATTCCACTCGTCGCTCAACAATGGGCCCGGGATGACCAGCGAGGTTATGGCTACCTGCTGCATCCATACCGCATCAAGGTCTGTTATGTGTTTCCAGTCGCCAAGATGCAAGTGGGTAAGGCGGAGCGGGCATCCAGGCCCAAGAAACTCGCCCAGTGTTGAAGGTATACCTACTAGAGCTCGTCTTCAGCAATCATCACACGAAATTGCACCACAAATAGCACACCGCAGAAGTCGAGCCCAACATTCAGCCGCGTAAGCTTTGTGCAGACCCGCAGCGCCTGGATCATTTCCTCCACTAGCCGCTTTTTCATCTCGTCCGGGTCGTCCTCCACTATGATAAGCAGGTTGAAGACAAGCGAAGATACCTTCCGCGCAAGGCGGTGGTTTTCGATGACCGTCCTACACCAGAAGAATCCCTGCTCAGCGTTCCGTTGGTCGAGAACGACACGCGGGTACAAGTAGTCCTCTGCAATTACGCGGAAGAGGCGACATGCAGCGGCGAGAGTCGCGAGAGACGACGGCGGAGCGCATTCTGCAATGGCCGCCACTAGTTCTACGGGCAAGGGCGGGGCTACTGTCATGTGCCGGGTAGGTGAGGGTTAGAAGCAAAAGTAGTGTCACGTCACATCCGGGTGTCGATCGCCGTCAACTTGCGATGATGTGACGATGTGACGATGATCTGATGTGACGATGACGTGTTCTACAACTATGACCTTTCCTACTATGTACGTTCATTTGAAAATACTAGCCCGATTGATGTGTTTGAAATAAATTCAAATAATCCATTTATGCACCAAAGCGGTCCAAAGGGCTAAGCCTCCAGGAAAGTAGACTTGACTAGTAAGAAATTGAGGTATATTTAAGTCATCAGATTCAACTTGACTTAAAGCTAATATCAGCTGACAATTTTGTGGCTAGGATTTGTAGCAAACAAATTCACCAAATACCTATGCCACAGGATATAATACCATATATATGATATAATATATCAAAAATCAGGGTCAGCACCACAGTGTACCTAATATATATCAGAAATAAGTGACCAATTGCCATTATATATATAAAATTGCAGTAATAAATAATGTAACATTTTGCTTGACAAATATTTGGGCTTGAATCTTATTGTCTACATAACATGGTTAGAAAGGGGTAGTCACAATGTATGCAATATTTGATCCCCCTGTACAGAACTTGATTTCTTGTGAATCAGATACAATCTTTGCAACTTTTATTGCATATCCATCAAACTTGAAGCAGTGAAAAAGGCCATTGTTAGTTGGACCATTAATATTTCTTATATATAAATTCTGCTTAGAAGACCATTTTTTGGCTGAAACCCCAGGGTGCCACTTCAGTGAATGCACTTCAGTCTAGAAGCATCAAATAGCCATCAAAAACATTAAAAAAATTGCCATATAGCTGGCAATTGGTTCATACATACACATACATATACACGGTATACTCGCGGTCTAAAGAACTTTTAACAAAACTGTAGGGCTCTACACACCGCCCATTTCAACCTCTTCACCCTGCGCCTCGCTCTTCTCCAGATCCTGCCTGCCCCACTGCTCGTCCACCTTCGCATGCAGCGGCAGGCCCTTCATCAGCCAGCTAACCAGCATTCCCGCACCCGCGAGCCCCGCAAGCACGTCCCACAGCAGCTTGAACGCCTCCGCAAACGCGTGCTTCACCTGCCCGCCGAGCTCCGGCGACAGCGACGATATGCTCGGAATGATGGTGAACGCGATCTGTGTGCCGCCCGGGAACTGCGCGAGGAATTCGGCTGGCAGCGCATCGGTGAGCTTGTTCTGCAGGATGGTGCCGCCGATCGTGACGCCCCAGATGAGCGCGAACTGGCGCAAGAAGAAGAACCACGCGAGCGCCTGTGCGTTGTACTTGACCTCGATCGGGGCGAGCACCGGGAAGTACGCCGCGACATACGCAAACCCGATCCCCGCGCCGATCAGAATCTGGTAGCCGATCGCTTTCCCGCGCGAGCTGTGCTCGTCGAGGGTACCGAGCAGCGCCGTGCCCAGAATCATCAGCGCCCAGCCGAGCCACATTTGCGGGCGGTAGCGGCCCGTGCGGTTCACCAAAATTCCCGTGACCGCTGACACTGGCGCAACCGTAAAGGTGATCCCGAACACGTCCACCCCGGAGGCGATCGGCCCGGCACCCTTACACGCCTGGAAGTACACCGGGAGCCAGTCTAACACATGAGTTAGTAAGCGAATTGAAATGACGCAATACGAACATCCGATTGCGGAGAGAACAAGCGCAGACAGAAAGTTCTGGATGTACCCAGCAAAGGCGGTGCGCGTAGCCATGAGCGAGAGCGGGATGATTGGATACTTTGGGATGAAGGCTTCATAGACAACGAAAGCCACCAGACCAACGCAGCCAATGATAAGGGGCAGCAATACTTTCGAGGAGGCCCATGCGAAGACTGTGCCGCCCCAGGTAAGCGCCAGCACCATAGACGTTGTTGATGCGACGATGAGTGCATTTCCACTGTGGCCAGTCAGTCGAAACTCATCATCGTGCTATAGACTCACATGAAATCCAGTTTCTGCAGCTTCTCCTTCAGAGGCGTCTGAGGGACCTTCAAATTGACGAAAAGCAAAATAAGCGCGCCACAGAACCCGCCGATGGGCAGATTCATGTAGAACAACCAGCGCCAGTGTCCCTCCTGCGCCAACGCTCCGCCAATCACCGGACCGGCACCCGCACCGACGCCATACGCCATCGCAATAATACCATTGAAAATCCCGCGTTCCTTGAGCCCGACGAGGTCGGATATGATGATTTGAATGAGCGAGATAATTCCGCCCGCGCCGAGGCCTTGTACGGCTGTAATCCACAGATGAATGAGTCATATGGAGCAAGGCAGGGAGACGCACTTCGTCCCGCGATAAGGAAGTTCATGCTGGTTGCGGCCCCGCACAGCGCGCTGCCGACCATGAAGATGGCGATGGAGAGCAGCATGACAAAGCGCCGTCCGAAGATCTGGGCCAGGCCCGCACAGAATGGCAACAGCGCCGTTGACGCGAGGGTGTATGCAGATCCAATCCTAGACGGTCTTAAGACTCCGAGAAGAGAACAACGACAACGTACCAGATGTAGTTGTTCCCGTGCAGCTCCTCCGAGATGACGGGCAGCGCTGTCGCTACGGCCGTCTAGACTTGCACGTTAATCCCCGAGAGAAAAAAAGAAACAACGCACGAATTCGATGGCGGTGAGCATCTGGCTGATCGACAACGAGCTGATAATCGCCCAGAACTTCCAGTCATGTTTGGTTGCAGGCCCCTCAGCAGCAGCCGCGGCCTTCAAGTTTTGGCTGGAGCTTTCATGCTCGAGCGCCACGTCATCCACCTCTTCTACCGCTATTGGGTCGCTGAGTTCAAGTGCGGGCGAAAGACCGGGCGGGGGGTCGTGCGCCATTGGCAAGAGATGAAGGTGGGAGAAGAAAGAAAGAAGGGCGTTGCCAGCGAAGCGGCGTTTAGACTGTTTTATGGTGCTTCGCGTCTCCCGCTCTTGATAGAGTTTTGTTTCCGTGGCCGGGGGAGCTCTCTGTCAGGCCGAGCTCCAGGCCGAAGGCCGGGTGCAGGGTGCAGGGGCAGGCCGAAGCCAGCCCGACCCAAGGATGAAGGCAGGACGGGAGTGGCGTGGCCGTGGGAAACGGAACCGCCGTGCCATTTGTCAGAGCTGTCACATAAGCGGCGTGCCGTCGGCAACTTAACCAAGTGTGACGTGGCAACTCTTCCTTATTCACTCGGTTCCATAGGCTCTATCTGTTTGTTGTCGAGTTGACTACATGTTTCCTCTGAGATCGCCTCGTCCCTTCCGGCCGGTCCCTTCCCTTGGGCACGCTCTTTCGTCGTGGGGCAGCAGCAGCCTTGCTTACTTTCTTCCCTGCGGCTTCAACTTCCGCTGCCACCCTCGGCCTCTTTACCTGCTTCGATGTGCGCCTCTGCACTGGGCCAGTCTCTGGCTCTTCGATCTCGGAGGCTCTTCGTTTCCTGCCATTCCCGCTGGCCTCGGCATTTTCCGCCAGCGTCCTGCGTAGCTCGGCCACCAGCTCCTGCATCTCGGCACACATCGCCTGTCCCTCTGCTTGCACACCCCTGAGCTCGGTCACCACCGTGGCCAACACGGCGCCCACGTTCGCCCCCCATTGTCTGTAGTCGTCGCAGTGTGAGTGACGGGCTTCCGGCACTTCCATGCCTTCAAACATTGGGTTAAATGGGTCTACCGCAGCCTGAGGTTCTTCTTCTTCAACAATCTCCGTCGGGGCCGGCGACACCGGCCGCTGAACGAGCTGGGCGCGGTTGGTCGGCGGGCTGTGCCCGGATCACCTTCAACACCGTGACACGTTTACAACTAGCACTCACAAGTCATGCGTTACCTGAGGAATCCCTTTGTCCCGCCACCGCCGGGGCGCCGTGCTTGGGCCCGTCAGTGTTCCGTCCTGCAGTAATGCACGTGGCCGGGAACCGGACGCCGCGGGGCCCGGGCCGGGTGTTGTCGGTGCGGGCTGTACTTCAGGAGGGCCGGTTGGCGCGGGATGCATCGATGTGGTTGTGCGTTGTTGTGAGGTCGTGAACATACATTAATCCTTATATAGGAGCGTGCTTCACGACCTGACGCGCACCCACAGACCGACGGGAACAACAAGAACAACGATTTCTTTGTTGACGCCGCTTTTTGTTCTCGTCGTGAGGGCAACCGAGCGCAAGCCAACGACTTACTAACTTTTAAACGCCCAACGCGAGTTCGAATCCCACTAGGAGCATGGGAATTCAACGATGATGTTTTAGGTTCATAAATTTACTCATTGTGACTTCAGCAAAATGACTTCTTTGTAGAGTATTTGCCTGGCCTGTATCTCTTGGTTGTTCTGTGCTCAACTTGTATTGAAACAGAGGCAATAGTGCTGTCCAAGGATATGATACAACTGATATATTTTGAATATATTGGTCAAAATACAGATACAATACGCGAGTTCAGGGCACGTATCATATCATATCAGTTTGATAGGAAATCATTCGTCCATATTGAGTCTCACCAGTTTCTGCTAGCTTCTAGGAGCACTTCTGCATATTAAAGTGTACTTTGTGTCAGGGGAACCCCCACCTTGGCATCTGTCCATCACATCTCGGCATCAGACACCTGTCCATCAATTACCTACGTGATGCCCAAGCAACTGTCATTTTGTCCACCGATAGGAATCAACGTAGGTAATGCATCAGGATCTGCAAGAAGATCCTCCTGGGATCTGGCATGCAACATGGCGCGGGGCATATTGCATGGAGCAACGATCATTCTTGGCACATCAAGAGCGCGGTATATAGTTGGCTACCTGGCAGGTGGACCCTCAGAGTTTCTTCTCTTTGGATCCTCCCCTGCCAAACCCTGATCTCGGGCCTCCGGGGTTGCCCTTACACTTTGAAGGTGAGTGGGACCTCTCATAATGTAGTTTAATATCAGTGATACAGATATGATACATAGTTGAAGCTGCTGATTTTGTATTTAGCCAGGACTAGGCAAATATGTGGTATTTGGGGGCAAGAGACAAGACAAGAATAAAAGAAAACACAGGCCACCCAGACCAAGTCCTTCATAGTCACTCTATGTTATAGTATTAACATAGAGTGATACATATGACAAGTTTCCAACAAAGAAATCTTTTCACCATTGAACAGTACAATCATCAGACTATGTCACAGATGGTCACCAAACCAAAGTTGTATATTTTGTCTATATGAACCACTTTCATTAAGTAACCTACAGTTGAAGAAGGGCGATATAGTCTAAGTGAGGACTATCAAGTGCCTAGGTCGTACCAAGGCCGGCGCTGCGGGAGGAGTAGAGATGGCGGGGAGATTAGATATGATAACTTAACTCTGGGATGGAGTGTAGACTCGGGCTCGATAATGTGCTTTCACTCACGCCAACTTTAGCTTGTAGATCGTGGGGAAAAGTAAGAGAGGATACCATTCTCCTATCCGACAAGACAGTAACTAAGCGATCAGAAGGGGTGAAATGAGTAGGGAAATTTATGTACAAAGTCCATTGTGATAAGTAATTTTTGACAAGAACAGCACCAATCCTGACAACTGGGATAGGGGGACCAATCCCGCGTTGTGCACACCCCAGTCCATCTGGATTGCCTGGGTTGGTACTGCCATCACGTTGGATATGATAATATAGTGTGTGAGAGATGTAGAAAAATAAGGGGTAAAAATGATGGATGGGAGTTGGGTAAGGAGTGAGTGGCTGTTAACGCCTGAAGATGCTTGACATGTGGAAGATGCGTGACTGTGGAGTCGATATGAAGGCTAAATGCAGCTGATATAGCTACTTCTATGCAAAAGATGTGGGCTACTGCCTATGGGTGTAATGCAAAAGATGTGGGCAACAGCCCTAAAGTTATAAATGTTACTAGTATTGCAATAATAATTAATTATTTTAGGGCTTTCTAGCACCTTCTAGGTGATGGGATCAATGCCTCATATATAATGTTGTTAATGTGGAACCATTTTTGATGAAGATCAATTGATTTGATTATTAGGCTCTGTTCCATCAATGTGACATGTGATTACATCAACCTGTATTATAAACTGTTCCAAATCATACACCGAATCATCGGCCTGAAGAAATAGTGACTTCTATTACCATATATGGCATTAGCTTAGTCATAGCTATCAATTTGGCTCTTTAATCTAGTATTTTCATTACAGGCTTGTGACTTGTGGGCAATTGCCCACATCTTTTACATTAGACTGGTGGGCAGTGGCCCACATCTTTTGCAAAAGACTAGGTATACATGGTGCTGAAGGTCATCTCAAAAGGGGAAAAACAAGGCTGGACAATCTAGCTCAGACAGATCTCCAACTCCCACACCAGCCAACCCAGTGATTGCAACTTTTATGACAGCTGAATTTCCAGATGAAGATTTGGAGGATGCAGAGTTTGAGGGTTCATATGAATTCTCTAAGGAAGATTTAGTATTTGTCAGAAAATGTATCCAGGATATAGAGCTCCCTTCTCATGCAGGACATCCTTCTGCGTCCTCCTGTAAGTCTTGGAGAGGCTAGCCATGGTACTTTAAAAGCACAGGAAATCTTGGGTCTTTTTACAGCAATATTTTCTGTTATAATGCCTGAGCTTTGGTATGCAGGTACAGATACTCAGAGCCAGCTCCTACAGAAGTTCTATCATCTAGTGGCTGCTATGAATATTATTGCATCTTTTAGCACCTCAGATACAGATGCAGGAAGATATAAATTTCATATTATAGAGTACAGAAAACCAAAGCAGCCTTATTCACAGATGCAACTATTCCTCCTAATAAACATCTTGCTATGTACAATATTGAACAGCTCAAATTTATGGGACCGTCTCTAGTCTTAGTGAATTTGCAGGGGAACATTTTAATGGGATCATGGGTCAAATCAAGACAAACAAACAAAGCTGTAAATGTTTTCCACTTAGAATAGTTATATAAATCTGACCAAGAATTTTAGCAAAAATGGAGTTGACAATTTTACAATAGTTATGCTGGCGGGGCCGACTGGAAGCTATCATGAAAGACAGACAGGCTGCTACTTCCATATCTGCCTCCGGCCCAACAACTAGATGCTCAAGACAAAGCTAGTAACGCCGATCCACCAAGCCGAAAATGGGTATGTCGCGGATTGCGGAAATTAAAGCTGAGTTTCCGTTTCGATCATCGATCACTCACAGCCTTTGAATAGCAGATTAGTCTATCCACACTTATACCCATCTCACTCTTTCTACAGTTCCTTCTCTCTCTCCTCTGTCCGCCGCATGCCCGAGTTCCCTGCCTCAAGTCACTACGAGTGCGCGCCGTGTAACCGCACTTATCGAGGTTTTCACCTTTATGAAGACTGCTGACTTGGCGCTCCCCAATTCCCAAGGCCTTACGACAATATACCACGAACCAACCGATTCGACAGCGAAATTGACAGGTACCAAATCGACAACCGCCAGTTCACGTCATACAAGCGTGGTGACTTGACGCTCTGGTACTGTTATGAGGAGGAGCGGGTGTACATGCTGGGTGGTGAGTCCAATTTGTGTTTACGTTTTCCGCCGGGATTTCCTTCTCTTGTGGTTTGAGATTGTTCAATATTTCCAGGAAGGCTATGTACCTAACCACTACTCTCCTCGCAAAGAAGATGGCATTATCAACAAGCCAATGAATGCCAAGATATTCACTCAACAAATGCAGCACTTCCAATATGAGCCCCAATGGCCTGACTTCAAGCCGCCTCTCTGCAAAGGAGGCTCGGGCTATCTTGTTTAGTACAAGCATGATGAGTGAGAGCGTGACATACACCATTCTGTTCGAGACAATCCGGCAGCAATGTCAACAATTATTGGCCATGTCTCACCTTCCAAACTCGCGCACATCAACT